GCCGGTTATCCTTAACCACCACGCCACCTACTGGCCCCCCATTCTGTTGTGTTCTGAAGAGTAGCAGGTCCTTCCTTTTAAAACAGGACCCTAAAGAAGACTGTTGGGGCTGGCAGGTGGCACAGTGGTTAAAGGCGCTGGATTCCCACATGGCCGACCACGGTTCAAGTCTTTGTCCTGGTGGCTTGCTTTCTCACTTTCCCGCTCTCTCTCTGTCTCTCTCTGGTCAAATTAAAAAATAATAATAACAAATGGAATTAAATAAATAAATATATATAAAAAAAAGAAGACTGCTGAATAAAGGGACGACGGGACTTGAGGTTATAGGATCCAGGCAGCCTAGATGCTTTATTACCTTTCAGTTCTACTGACCCTGTGATCTGGGAAGACAGGGAGCTTCAGGAATCCCTTGTTACTAAGAAACTCAGAGCAGCCCATGACCTCAGTGCCCAGGATAGGCCTGGCATAAAGCAGCCTCTGCCCATTTTTGCTGTGTAAGGGATGGAAACAAGTCATAGATGTAATGAACATATGCAGCCCAGGACACCTTGGCTTCTGGCTGCCAAACCCACCATGGAGGAATCTCACCTGGGTCAGTCCACTGAGGCCCCGGGCAGCTCCATTGGCCCCCAGAGCGAGGTAGGTCCCACAGAGCCCCTCTGCCGGTCGGACCACAGTGGGCAATAGGAAAGAAAGTGGTCGCTTCCCTGGCTGCACTGAGTTCTCCTGTAGTCAAAGGACAGAGACAGAGACCACAAAAGTGTGTGGGGTAGGGTAAGACAGGGAAAGGACAACTCTATCACCCTTCTAACCTCTCTTCCTCTTCTACATTTTCTGTAGATCTAGTTTTCCTGGGAGACTGGTCCTTTCCAGGCAACAGTTAGCTGTGTGTGAAATGGTTAAGGTCCCTGGATGACTAGGTGGATAGAGAGAGTGGTAAGATCTACTGATCTATGAGGTTGCTGTGGATAAAGACCAAGCCAAGAAAGATGGTAACAGGGAAGAACAGGATAATCCCTACCCTGACCACCTCTATGTGTATCTGCCCTGCTGGGGCCTCAGAATGCAGGTTGCTGAAGTACTGGACTCCAACTAGACATAGTTCCTAAATCCCTCCCCCTTGGGTCCCTCTTTGGGGGAGCTCCATCATCTCAGCATTATATAGTCACAGACCACTAGTACTGGAAAGTGTCCAAAGCATCAAATAGGGGCCAATACCCTCCCTGTATAGGTGCAGGAACTGAGGCCCAAAGAGGGCTAAGACCTTCTCCAGATCACACAGTGACAGTGACAGATGGATAAGGGTTCTTTGGATCCACCAGGCTCCATCCTGCAGACTTAGCAGGGCTGGGGATAAAGTAGACATTTTGTTTAGACTCCTTTTCTTTATAACAGAAGTTCCTAGAGGAAGTAGGGAGGAAGGGACAGCCATATTGCTGCACCTCCCACCTAGCCTCAGGGCCCCCGTAGAGGAGGGAAGCAAGACCTTACCAGGCTAGGTGCAGAGTGGTTAGCAGTTCTGTTGGGCCAGGAGAAATCCAGCATCTGGCTGTTGAGCAGGATCCCTGAGGGAGTGATGAGGCCACTGCCAAAGGGCTGGTTCAGGGAACTGGGGGGCCAAGGGGGCTCAGGTCAGCCCTGTGCCCACCTTTTACCTTGACCCAGTCCCCACCTTCCTCCTGACCCAGATGATCCCTTGCTCCAGGTTCTGAGTCTGAGATGGCATACCTGACCATGGCTACAATGAAGTCATCAGGACCCATAATCAGCACCTGAGCAGCTGTGGGAGCCCCATCAAGCTCATAGACAGGCAGGAGCGGGGCAGGAGCCGCCTGGGAGTCATTGATGTGGCCCCGGAAGTAGGCAGCCTCCACCTTACTGAAAAGGCAAGGGGTGGGAGTGAGCACACAAGAGGCTCTTGTTACAACCCCACACTGCGTTATTTGTGTGATGATTGAATCTACCTGACCCAATGAACTATTAGGCTTCTGAGGGCAGAAGCTTGCTTATTGTTAGTACATAGGAAATATCCAGGAAATAGGTGTTGAACTGAATGAATTGATTTAGTTATTATTCAAATTCTCTCTTAGGGCAAACTTTTCATTTAATTTTTGTTTAAATCAAGAGTTTTTCCATTACTTTACTTTGCTCACTTAATCCTTTCCATGAGAGTCTCTGATACATAGTATATGGTCAGAAAATACTTGTTTTGAATGAACAAACTAGTTCCATTTAACCAGTATGGTTAAAGACCATTTAAACTAGTATTTGTAGTCTAGAACTAAAATCTCATCAAGACTTTAGGTAGGGGAGGGGTTTTGTTACAGGGATCTTTACTTACTATTAAATTATTTTTTCAAGGCACATTAGAACTTGGCAAATAGTGACTCCTCAATAACTATTTACTGGATGGATGAATTTGTTGAATAAATTTCACTTAGGTGTGTGTGTTTCAGAACTAAGTTTGCATTGATCTTGCATTTATTTGTGTAACCATACAAATTTATCTTAAGTATATTTTTTCCTTAGCTAGTCTATTAGTCAGGTGTAGTAGCAGTTAACTGTTCTTACCTCTACTGACAAAGCATATTACTATAGGTTGAATATCTTACCCAAAGTTCCTGGGATCAAAAGTATCACCAGAAGATTGGCTTTCTGGATTACTTGTAGGTACTTGTATGTGTGTTTTAGAACTAAGTTTGCATTGATCTTAGAAACTACATGTACTTCTCAATTTATTCAGATTTTGGAATATTTGCATATTGCATAATGAGATATCTTGGGGAAATGGGCTTGTCTAAACACAAAATTCATTTATATTTTATATTTATCTTACACGCATAGCCTAAAGGTAGAATATATATATATATATTTTTTGAGAGGTTTTTGCTATAGGGCACGTGCGCTCGCCAGACAGACAGAGACAGAGAGACAGAAAGTGAGAAATCACCCCCCAGGGGGGATGGCCATGTTGCAATCCCTTCCCCTCCATTCTCCTCTCAGGATCTTGGGCACGCACGCACACACGCCCGGCGTGAGTTTTAAGCCACTGGGTCTGGGACGCAAACCGCGGTCGACTACATGGGAGTCCAGTGACATAGCCATTACGCTGAATGCTGGTCCCGGTAGAATATATTTTTTATTGCAGTGATTTGACTGTGACCTGTTATATAATTTTTTTTTTGGAGCATTCTAGACTTTGAATTTTTGAATTAAGGATGCTCAACCTGTAATAACTGACATCTGTTGAGCATTTATTATGTGCCCAGACAATGTGTGCAGTGTTTTACACATATGATCTTTACAGGAAGAGCCTCATCACAACTTCAGGATTATCTGCACCCTTGTAGAAATTGAGACTCAGATTATTTAAATTACTTGTCCAAGACTGCACAGCTAGTGAATGTTAAAGCTGGAATCTGAACAGAGGTAGATTCAACAGAGTCCTACTCCTGTGCTATGTTGCTAATGAAAATACATCATGGTAAAAATTCTTGCCATCTCCAGTACTTGCCTGGAATTGACTTTTATTGTTATTAGGTTTTCTTTTTCCATTCAAAAAGGGGACAGATAGGCCCATATAGGTGTCCTTCTAGAATTTAAAAAATTAAGAGCTACATGAAGTAGACTAACTCATTGGACAGACAGGGAAGGTAAGGTGCAGGGAGGTACCTAATTATCATATTGTTAGTTGGAGTTGAGCTAAAATTGACTTGAGACTTCAGGTCTTATTACTACATCAGCTACTTTTCATCTGATCCTTTCGCCATACCCACCATCATTTCTGCACCACCACCACCCCCAGGTCTCCTGGCCCAGGACCCACCTGAGCATGTCATCCATGCTCTCTGTGATGGTAGAATCATAGATGGGATCTCCCAGTCTGCTGGCCAGAGCTAATGCAATCTTCAGGGTCTGAAAACACAACAGGGATATAGAAGAGGCTACCAGGCCCCTTCCCACACCCACAGCTGTTGGATCTTTATGTGTGATAAAACTTTGAGGTGATTAAGTCCTGTCCCATGGCAGTAGACCCTCTCCGCACTCCTAATGTTCCCAAACCCAGCAGAGGGTGGGGGGGGGTTAGGCTTACCTCTGCCACCCAGTGAAGAGCCTGTTCACGGGATACCAGGCTGGTAAGATTGAAGCCCTCAAGGATGTTGAGGGCACTGATGAGAGCAGGGCCCGTGTGCGGGGGTGGGGGACTGAGAACCAGGTGACCTGAAAGGACAGGAAATGACCGGATGGCAGAGGAGGGGTCAAGAAATCTTCACATCCCACATCTCATCTCCATATCCTACCATCACATACACCAAGATCACTATACTGAATGCCCTCATCAGATGGAGAAACTGAAGCCTTGTGAAGCAAAGGGACCCCTCAAGTTCACATGGCAAGTCAAGGGCAGGGCCAAGACTTGAACTCAGAATACTGGTCTTTAGCTTCTTCTGCGATTTGAAGAAGCTAAGGTTCAAAAAGTCTGTGACATGCCCTGAGTCACACTGTAGCCCATTGGCAGAGGAGGGATGGGTGGCCAGATGTGCAGATACTTGGTTAACCATATATCCTGCCTCTCCTTCTCCCACAGGCCAGGATACTATTCAGGGCCTCTGTTGGTCCCTCCCAAGCCAAAACTTCTTGGGAGCAGCATCCTCCCCTTTCTACTTTGTTATTAGATGTTTGGATATCACAGGAAAATTAATAATACCTGACACACAACACTCACATTAACTAATTCACTTAACCCTCACAGTAGGTACACCTACCATTTTGTAGGTGTGGAAACTGGCACAGAGAGACAACTGTTCAAGGTTAGAGAAGACAAGGGGAAACCAGGGCACTCAATGTACTGGCATTACTGAGACAACTCAGGATGGGGAAGGGAAATGGTAAATCTAATCTACACTGTGTGCCCATTCTGATCGGGACAACTTCCTAAATCATCTCATTAAATCCTCATGGCACCCTCAGATGTAGGCACTATTATTATCTCCATCTTAAGAAGAAAATCAAGGCTCAGAGTGGGAAGTATTCAAGGTGAATGACATAGCTGGTACTCAAACTCAGGGCTTCCTGGTTCCAAAACTTTGCTTTTTACTCTCTGTTGTGTCTGGCAGAAGAATCAGGCTGAAGACTGAGACCTAAAAACTTGAACTCAGAAGCAGCCTCTTCTAGAATTTAAGGAAATCTGGCCTCTCTAGAGGAGAGAGAACCTAAGAACTTTTGAGGAACCCAGAACCTACCACCTTGGGTTTAACATGCATGGACTTCAACTGTGTGGTAAGTACGGCTTTCTGGGTTACTTGTAGGTTTTCTTGAGTTTGGTAAGTTAAGTTCCATTCCCTCCCCAGGTCTTAGTTTCCTTTTGGCACAATGAGGGGGCAGGTCTATAACTGTCTTGAAGAGTTCCTTCTATGCTGGAGCTTAGGTAGACTTTGGTCTTAAAAATTCTTAGAAAGTTCAGGGCAGTCAGAATCAGGCTGGAAAGAGAGCTGAGGCAACAAATAGCCCAAATCAAGAAAACCTAGGGCCCAAACCCCAATGTCTAGGTTTGAGATTTTGAACAGACCTGTTCCCCCCATGGATCCTAAATAATTGGGGTAACTGATCCCATGGCTACTTGAGAAGGTGCAGTGGCTCTGGTGTGCTTGAACAGTTGTCTACTCAGGTTGCACACTGCCTATTTCTCTCCTATGAAATAAAGAAGAGTCTCCAGGCCAAAAGGTTATGGCCATGGGCAGGAGACTTCTCCTGAATAGGGACCATGAAAGCTGGAGGAGAGGTCACCTCTGTATACGCCACACACAGGCTTTTCCACGAGGGCACTGTAGTTGCTGAAGTCCTCCTCAGTTATGACACCCCCTGCATGTTGAGCCTGGATGGGTGAGAATGACCACTTGTCACTGTGAGCATGGGGGATCAGCCTATGTTACATGTTTACAACTTCTATGCCTTCTACAATACCCGTCATGGCCTTTAGGGACCCTGTTAGCCCTAGGTATCCCACAAAAATAGAAAGGAGAAAAAGTGCTGACATTGAGCACCTACTCTGCCAGGCATTGTGCTAGGAACATCCTTTGACTTCCTTAGCTTGGTATTCAAGGCTGTTTGTGACCTGTTCCCTATCTACCTCTTCTGCCTTAGAGCCTGCTATTCCCCTGCGAGCTCTATACAACTTCAGAGTGACCTGTATTTCCTGAAGTCATGCCTCCACATATTTGCATGTGCTGCCCTCTCTATGTAAGAGGAAGACTTTCGGGACCAGCAATTAGCGTAATGGCTATGTTGCTGGACTCTCACGTAGTTGACTGTGGTTTGCGTCCCGGACCCGGTGGCTTAAAACTCACGCCGGGCACATGTGCGTGCGTGCCCAAGATCCCGAGAGGAGAATGGAGGAGAAGGGATTGCGGTGTGGCCATCCCCCCAGGGGCTGACTTCTCACTTTCTATCTCTCTGTCTCTGTCTGTCTGGCAAGCGCATGTGCCCTATAGCAAAAACCTCTAAAAATAAATAAATAACAAAAAAAAAAAAAAAGAGGAAGACTTTCCACAAACACTAGCACTTGCCTAGGAGATATCAAAACTGAATTCTCTGTTTTACTTCAACTAACCAAAGCCACTACAAAGCCATGAACTTTGAGAGTGAGGACTGATCTTTATTGGACATAAATGAGCACTCTTTACTGCCTAATGAGCCAATCTTATAAAATCCAATGGGCTAATTTCATCTTATCCAGTGTGCTAACTTAGCCTGTTGTGCAAATCCTAAATTAGGTAAACCACTATGATTTTCTCCATTTCTGTACTTCTTAGTACGTCAACTCTTAACTTATTAACCTTCAGTAAACTATGCCTCAGAAACTACACATTCAATATCTTGATTGGTGTGTGTTCGTCTAGCAAGTTAAACTCAACTTTGAGTTTTTTCTTTTAAAGCTCTGATAGTCTTTATTAGAGACTCCTTTATTTCCTTCACCTCCAGGCTTGGCCAATCAGAACATTCCTTTCTTTCTTTACCACAGTGATTGGTTTGGGAATAGTCATGAGACCTCGACAGACCAATAAGACAACCTTGGAGCTTTTGCCAGAACTACTGAGAATGAGAAATGCTGTTTCTTTGAGATGGCTTGCTAGCAGGATGGTCTAAGTTGCATTGCTGGGAAACAAGTAGAGAAAAGATCTGATAAACAGTGAATCCAAACAGAGGAAAGAGAAAGGGGCCAAGTTCTGACAATGTGGCTTGAGCTCCTGTTCCCGGAAGAATCAAAAGCCAGTACTCTCCTGAACTTTCTAGTTAAGTCCGTTTGTGATAGGCTTCTACCCCTACATTCATACTTCCAGTGCCCAGCATAGGGCCTGGCCCAGAGCAGGCACTCCGTGAATGCTGAACAAATGATAGACTTATTTTAACTTCCACAACCATATGCAGAGAGAAATACAATCACCCCCACTGCTGAAAGAACCACTGAGTTGGTCTGTGTATCATTATCTTTTTTTTAGGTTTATTAATTTATTACTTCCATAAGCTAGAGTGATTTATTTTTAAGTTTATTTATTTATTACTTCCATAAGCTAAAGTAATTTATTACTTCCATGAACTACCATTCCCACCAGTGTCCTGATACCACAGTCCACCTTCAGTCTTCAGAAAGCCCTGGATCACAGGAATGTGTGGCTGGCATAATCAGGCAAGTTTCCTGACTTGAATTGGGCACCTTCCCATTTGGAAAGTGCATTTTACTGCTGAGTGTAACCATACGGCCCTATGTGTATCCTTATCTTAAAAATAATTTTCCACTAGGAGTTTGAACTATTAATCACAGTTTTCAAAACCCATTACTACCCCAGACTAAGACTCTTTGGAGTTGGATGGTAACCTGTTGTATCAATCTCCCTAGTCCCAATAGTCACCAGTGAAGGAGGTATTTCTCTCAGTCCCTGAGAGAGAGGGGGTGTGGACTTAGGGAAGCTGAGACTGATGCTAGGTCCCTACCAGGCCAGGAAGAGACAGAATAGACCTCTGCACAGGTTGGCATCAACACTGAAAAGCCCAAAGATACCTCTCTCAATCAAGACAGAACATTTCTATCACCGTAGGACGCTTTACATGCCACATCCTAGCTCCTCCTGTGCCCAGCAACTACAGATCTAATTTCTATCACCAGAGGTTAGTCTCATTTATTTTAGAACTTCAAATAAACATAATATTCAGTAAATATATGTAGAAAGAAAGGCAAGGAAGGAAGAAGAGAGATGTTCCTGCAGTAGAGTCTTTGGGGCATGCCCCAATTTTACCCGAGCACTTACCTCTGCCACCATCTCCAGTGTGAGGTTACCACCAGCATAGAAGGCAGCAGGGCCAGAGGTGCCAAGTGTATCCAGCACCTCAGCCAGGTCAGGCCGACGCAGCAGAGAGCCAGGTAGTGGTGGGTGGCCCAGTGGCAGGAATGTCTCCCGGAAGCGCTCGGATGCATTGGGAGGCAGCTGCTCTATCAGGGCGCGAGCTGAGGGCAGGGATGGAAGACTGGGCAGGGGTGCCAGGACAGGACAGGATGGCTGAGACATGCATAGGGGCAGGTGGATGAGGGCTACATGGCCAGTCCAAAGTGCTCCAGCCCCCAACGAGCCTGTTACTATATGGGCCCTTTCTAGATCCTTTCACTTGAAGCTGCTTCTAGGTAAGCGTGGGATGAGTAGGGAAGGGGATTGAAGAATAAGCTGGAAGAGAGGTCCTCTGGCTTGGGCCCCAAATGTCCAACGTTCTCCCTCCCCTCTCCACCAACCCTGTGCCTCCCCCCACCCCCAGGCCCCACTGACCTAGATCATTGGTCACATTGAAGCCATCTTGGGCCACAGCTGCTGCGAAGGCCAGGACTTGGGACCAGGGCAGCCTGAGGGGGCCGGAGAGCAGGGGGTGGAGGAGGTCCTGGGGGGAGGAGTAGGGGTCCTGGGGGAAGGGGGGTTCCTGGGAAGGAGAGTCCTGGCAAGGGAAGGGGATATTAGGAAGGGGAGTTGGGAAGGAAGAATCCAGGAAGGTAGGAGAAGGCCACACAAGGGAAGATGCCAGCAGGGGTCCCTCATCCCCAGGAGTAGGGTCTTTACCTGCCATAGAGCTGGTGAGCTTCATGTAGCCCCTTCACCATTCCGGGGACCCCCACCAAGAGCCCAGGCTGGGCAAGGCGGGCAGGCGAGGGAGAGAGGAGACCAGGTCACTGGAAGGGGGGGGCTGGGCTGAACTCCGCAGAGCCCCAAGCCAGGGATGGCTGGCACAGGGGAGAGACACAGGCCAAGTATCCCAGGGGAGGGACAAGTTTTCCCCAAAAGGTACCCCTCCTATTTCCCTAATTTCCTACAAGCAAGTGCAGAAAGGCCTCAGGACATAGCCAGTTTAAATAGAAGCCTACTTACACTAGTTAGACCTATCACGCCTTTTAAAGTGGTAGGTATAATTACTAAAGGACCTCCATTTAACCTATTAATTTTTATACCACCATCACTCTGCATTGTGATAACTCAGGAGTGTTGGTTTTTGCTACTGCACTAAATATTTATTTTCCCAAGTTATTCTATTTCCTCCTTTGCTGTCAGTGGTTTGCCTACAGCAGTTGCTCTCTATTCCTCCAATACTCATATATCATGAGTTGTGAAGGTTCATCAAAAGGCTCAGAGTGAAATGTGTGGCTTTTGGTGCAACAACTTTGACATCTCAGGGTACTAAGTGACTTTTTCTTTTTTCCTTTTTTTTTTGTCTTTCCTATGTGCCAAATGCCAGAGAATTAAGACATTGCAGTATTACCTGTTATCGACCATCCAGATTGGTTTATTCATTATTTTTATTTGGAGGGGCTATCTTCCTCATAGCCTAAGAACATATTATTCAACTCTTCCCCACCCACCCCACCATTATAGTAAATAGTCAACAAATTAATGATTGGGTAGGCAGAAGGGCAATGAAGGGAGACTCTCCCCCAAACCCTTCTTCTCACCCGGGTCCCCACCTTGGTCTCCCAAGATCTCTGCAATGCCTCTTCCCTGAGGGCCCCTGGTGCGGACTCCCGGAAATCAATCAGGTGGCTTTCATTTCTTCGAATGTCATGTACCAGCATCACACCCCCACTGGAAGAGACACAGAAGGGGAAGGTGATAAAACACTGCCCATTTAACAGTTGACTTGCCAACCCTCAACCCCCAGTGGTGAGGGGTTGTAGGCTCAGTTTGTCATTGGAGTCAGGTGTCTGAGCCTCCAGGAGGGATAAAGAGACTCAGACACTCTATAAGGGTGGGGAATGAAATCAAGAGGGTTGGGGACCCAGGGTCCATGGACCTCTTCCAGCTTGTCACTGGAGACTTTAATCCCAGATTAGGAAAACCCAGAGACTGGAAGAGCAGGATATTCTGCTCTCTGTCCCCACCCTGGACCAGAGCTGGACCCCTGCCAGTTTCCTGCACCTGCCTACTTAGTATGCCCCCCTCCCTCCCCCAAGGACCGGATTATGTAAGGATAGACTACACAATACTAGGAGGGGAATTTCTCTGGTAGAGCCTAGAGGGCAGGTCTTGCAGAAACCAAGACATGGACTAAGTTAGCTTGTCTCTTTTCTGAGGCTATTTACAGCTGAGATTGGGGTTACAAACTTAAATGCCTACAGCCAAGTAACAAATAGAGAGTAGTAGGAACAACAGCGAAGTGGACAGCACATGCCACTTATCTAATTCCAGGCCATTGTAGTCATGTGGAAATGTGGGCCCAGTGTGACTAGATCTCCTGTTTATTAAAGAGATGTTGGAAATCTGGATTTTTATGAAAATTCTCAACTTTTTAACAAAAACATTTTAAAAAGTTTAAGTGTGGTCCAGCAGGTGGCATGGTAGTTAAGGCACTGGATCCCACATGGCCAATTCCACAGTGAGAGTCCTGGAGCTAGTGGACTGAAAAACATGCTGGGTGTTTGTGTAGGGGTCCCAGGTCCCAAGAGAATAGAGAAGAACAGGATGCTGCATGGCCTTTCCCCCAGGGGGATGATTTCTCACTTTCCCCCCTCTGTCTCTCTCTGGAAGTGTGTGCACTCTATGGCAAAATCTATTAAAAAAAAAAAAAAAGTAAATGTGCAAACCAAAGCAGTCTGTGTGTTAGGTATGGCCCATGGGTGACCAGCTTGTAACCTCTGTTTTTAAAGTTCTGAGCATGGGGGCAGCAGGTGGTATGATGGTTAAGGTTCTAGGCTCCCACATAGCTGACCACAGTTTGAGTCCAAGACCTGGTGGCTTGCTTTCTCACTTTCTCTCTCTCTCTTTCTCCCTCTGGTGAGTGCAAGTGCTCTATAACAAATTAATACTAATATTACTACTAATAATAATAAGTTTAAATAAAGAAAGAAAGAAAAGAAAAAAACAAGTTCTGAGCCTGGAGTATATTTTCAGTGGACAGAGTATTTACAGCTTTCATTAGATTCACAGGGATTTGTGACCCTAAACCTTAAGTATCACTACCTTAATTGATGACAACAGACCCCCTACTATGCACTCACTTCATAGTTTTCTTTCTTTTTTTTATTATTATTATTTTTTTTTATTTTTATTTTTTATTTTTTTTGGAGAGATTTTCACTGTAGGGCGCGTGCGCTCGCCAGACAGACAGAGAGAGACATAGAGACAGAAAGCGAGAAATCACCCCCCAGGGGGGATGGTCACGCCGCAATCCCTTCTCCTCCATTCTCCTCTCGGGATCTTGGGCACGCACGCACACGCGCCCGGCGTGAGTTTTAAGCCACCGGGTCCGGGACGTGAACCGCGGTCGGCTACGTGGGAGTCTAGCGACATAGCCATTACGCTAACTGCTGGTTCCCATAGTTTTCTTTCTCAGTTTAAAAAATAAAACAAAAACAACTGACAACACCTCCAGATTTTCCATTTTCTCCTTCCGACTCCATCAAAGGAGAAAGAGGGTGGATTAAAAAAAAAAAAAAAAAAAAAAGTTGGAGCCCCGTTGTCCCTCTGCCCAAACTGGAAGACTCTCCACATGAGGCCTAGCCTATAGACCAGGAGGCAAGAAGTAGGTCTGGGAGAACTGGACCTTCCCTGCTCCAAACTCCTTACCCGCCTAGGCCAGAACTGTGTGGAGCCACGATTCCCAGACATAAGGCTGCTGCCACAGCTGCATCCACTGAAGATCCCTGTTTACTGAGCACCTCAATGCCCAGCGATGTGCAACGGGCAGCATCGGTCACCACGGCACCCTGCTGAAAGATCTGGGAAGAGAGAGAGGATGAGGTGGGGGCAATAGGAGCCCTCTGCCTCCTTAAGGCCTTCCACTAACCCTAGAATCTTTACAGGTGTAGGGGTAGAAGCCTCCCTGTCCACTTGCCTGTCCCCTGTGACCCTTGCCTCATTACTGCAAGTGCCTCTTACTTGAATCCTTTCCTTGTCTGTCCTCCTCATGACCCACTGTTCCTCCCTACGAGATCCTCCTCTCCCAAGTTACTGTTATTCTCCCAGTCACTCCCCTCTCCCCTTCCCATTTCCTGCTACTCAGCCACTTCCCAGTTCTCAGGATCCTCTTCAGCACTTCCACATTCCCACCTCCCCAGTTCTTTTGCCAGTCTGGCCCCCTTCACCTGTGGGTCTCCAAAGTAAATCTGCATGACTAGAGCCACAGTGACACCCGTGGCGAAGGTGAGGCAGGCCGTGACGATGACCGTGAGCCCGTCCTGGCGGCAGGTGCATTCTGACGCTGCTGCAGAGAAAGGGTCCTTGCGGGTCTCTCTTAGCGGTGACCCTTCCTGGCTGCCCATCTCTGATGATGATGATGGTAGCCGCTGCAGTCTTGCTGACTTCAGGAAGGAGTCTGGGTCTGCAGACAGCAGGGGGGTCAGTCTGGCTCCTCCTACCTGGCTCTGCCAGCCTGCCCGCCTGCCCGCCTGTCTGCCTGGAGAGACTATTCTGCACTCCCCTGCTGCCCCGCCCCTGCCACACAAATTCCACTGGCCAGCATTTCTCTCCTTCCCACATCTCCTCTACACTCAGGTAGGCGGGGCAATGGTCCCCAGGTGCAAGAGACAGGGACCCCCAGCTGAGCATCAGAGAGGCATGATTCCTGTCCCTGGCTGATACCTAGGCCAAATTTCCTCTACCCACTACCAAAGCTGGAAACACTTTCTGGGGAGGCGGTTTGGGCCTCTCTGGAAATCAGATATTCCCACAGCTGGGGCCCAGCCTTCTGTGCAAGGAGGCAACTACATAAACTGAGTAGACAGAAACTGCTTGGGTTATTCATTCATTCATTCAGTAATATGGAGAGCCCACCATCAGTCTGGCCCCATGCTAGGAGCTGATAGCTGAAAGGAACAGATAGTCTGCCCTCATGGGTTCATAGACCAGTGGAGGAAAAAGACAATGCACACGTAAACAAAGGAGTATGGGATTACAAGTTATGGCAGGAGATTTGAGGAAAAAGAAGATGAAATGATAAGAAAATAGTGGGGAGGGGGAAGGAGGATTGCTTGGGGAAATAGAGAAGGTCTGTCTGAGGAAGTAACTTCTTAATTTTTTCTTTTTGAGAGAGTTTTGCGGGCGCATTTGCTCACTGGAGAGATGGAGACGGAGAAACAAAAAAGTGAAAAATCGTCCCCCAGTGGGGATGGCCACACTACAATCCTTTATCCTCTATTTTCCTCCTGGGATCTTGGGCAGGCATGCAGGCACACATGCCCAGCATGAGTTTTAGGCTGCCAGTCTGAGACTCGAACCATGTGGGAGTTCAGCAACATAACCATTACACCATCTGCTGGTCCTGAGGAAGAAACTGTTTTTTTTTTTTTTTTTTTTGGAGAGGTTTTTGCTATAGGGCGCGTGTGCTCGTCAGACAGAGAGAGACAGAGAGACAGAAAGCAATAACCCCCCATGGGGGATGGTCATGCCGCAATCCCTTCTCCTCCCAGGATCTTGGGCACGCACGCACACACGCCTGGCGTGAGTTTTAAGCCACCGGGTCCTGGATGCGAACCACGGTCGACTACATGGGAGTCCAGTGACATAGCCATTACGCTAACTGCTGGTCCCTTTTTTTTTTGAGGAAGAAACTTTTAAAGTAAGAACTGAGGAATGAGAAGCAGTCAGTTATATGTAGAGCAAGGTGTGTGTGTGTGTGTGTGTGTGTGTGTGTGTGTGTGTATAGTGTAGTGTAGTGTTCTAAAACCACAGAAGAGCAAGTACAATGGCCCTAAAGTCAGAATAAGCTTGGCACTTTGGAAAAAATTAATCAAGGCCTGGATGACTCTGGTGTAGCAGACAAG